AACGGGGAAGAGAGTCTCAGTGGTTGTAATAGCTGGACCAGAGTAAATGTGGGTATCGTGTGGGTTTCTGACTACAACGTGGTGAAGATACATTGAAGCTGGTTCTAACTCAGTCCCTGCCAGACTCAACAGTGCTGTAAAGAAGCTACTTCTGGCTGATGGATCGTTCAGATCTGCTGAGATCCTGTCAACTGCAGTGCAATTGTTAGCTTAATGTAGGAAGTGCATAAGAAATGATGTAGGATCCAACAAATAGAATGGGTATGATGCAGCAGCTAATTGGCTTCTGGAAGCAAGGTTTTTAACATCCCTCCCCCATGCTTTGTATTGGCATTACTTGTTTACCTCAGCAGTGTAACTGGCATCTTCCTAGTTCCAGGTAAGAAATGGCAGTTAAAAAAATGTATCTGGGACATGAAGGTATTTTGACCCTTGCTTATGGAGCAGCCCCTCATTTACAGATAAAAACATTTACATTGTTCTATGTGATTTTAGTTTGCCTGGGAAATACAATGTTTTAAGCTGTTGTTTCTTACCCTTTCAGATTGTCTTTATAGCATGTTTTAAGCTAGCCTTAGAAATTGCTGTTTGGAATTAGCAACATGTGAGATGATCTCGTTAATCTGTCTGCTCAGCTGATAGCCGTTTTGGTTGAGCAGAGTTAATCCTATTACTAGACCTCACTGTCTGCATGAACATCTTTAAAGAGAAAACATGCTTTGAAAGAAACTGTATTTTCTAGATGTATGTGCAGGATCTCCAACATTCATCAGTTAGCTTGCTGCATTAGTTAATGAAGTTCTTAGGTAATAGAGTGGAGGCAGAACATTAGGCAGGAGGCAAAGGAGGTCAGTGCTGGAAAGGGGGTTAAAATATCACAATTAGATGAAGTCAGCAGACATGGTATATTTTGTTTCTATTTGTCATTTCCACAGTCAGTGTTTTCATATGTTTATCTTGACAGAAATAACTAAAAAAAATATCACTATTAAATAACTTAAACTGAAAAAAATACCCACTGAGTTAGTTGAGTTAGTGAAAATTGTAGCTTATCATTCCTGATCTGTGTCCAGGCAATTTCAAATCCAATTTGTTCTGTTAACAAACACTGTCTGTTTTACTGCCTGCCAGTTCTACAGTCTCACCAGGAAACTGCCTATGTACTTATTGTGGCTTATACATTGTTAGTGACATTACAGACATACAATACAAACTGGTCGGAGCCGTTGCTGTTGCTCTAAATGTATGGGGGCTAGACAAGGCAGAGCAAAATAGGTACACTATTTTGTTTAGGTTATTTAAATAGAGGTTCACAAGCATGTGGTGTACAAGCCATGACTCAATGTAATGTTCATAGCCATCTGTGTTAGTAAAAGCATTAATAGTTGGGGTTTTTTTCCTCCCCGTTTTATTTTTAGTAGATAACCTCAGCAATATGCACAAAGATATTATCTCAGAATAGATTTTTCTGGCTAGCACATTACCATTTGAAATAATCACTTTTCAGAATGTAAGTGCAATGTAGAGGAAGTTTGTCTTCAGTGTTTTCAGTAAGTATCCAAAGTGGGTTGGTGTCAGCCATTTGAGCATGTGAGAGCTGGTGTAAGAGGGGAGAAAGGTACAAAAAGATGACCAGTGCTTACCGGTTCACAAAACATCTTGTACCACAGGGGGAGGTACAACAGACAAACTCCATGGAAAGTGTGAGCAAAACCTTGAAATTTCTCTGAGTCAATGTAATTGCAAATGTGATCATCAATCTCTCTTCTCGTTTTCTCAGTCTTCTGAGATGCACTCCCCAATTTTTCAGTAACAAGTTATGCTAATGAAATTTGAAATAAAGTACTCAGCAAGAACCATTGTTATTTCCTGCAAACAAGATAAGAGCTGTGAGCACACAAGAACACAAATCATTTTACTGATAATCCAGTGCTATGTCATAGCACTGACACTGTGATAATTTACATATTTTTATGACTTTACAATCTGTTGTTTCATCTTAGTGACATTGCTATAACATTGTAAGTATGTGAGAAGAGAGTCTACATTTCAGACAAATCAGACACATGTACCTGTTCTTCTAATTTACAGTAGGGTAAATCTGAAATTACTACAGTTATCTTGCTCTAGTTAGTGCTATGTAAGAGTAGGGAAGTGCCTAGTGCAGGTTCCAAGAGAGAACTCATGCACTTTGTGTAAAGAAAAGTAAAGTGGAGATAATCTGGAAAAGATAAAAAAAAATATAGAAAAGGACAAGTAGAGCCTAAATAGATAAGTAGAGCTGGTGTTTTGGGTTGGGTTGTTGAGCATTGAAACCAGTTGTGTCTTGCCCGGTTCCTTACAAGGCTCATCCTCAGTTAGTTTTAGTGGCTTCTGCTGTAGTACTTTGTCGTACAGCTATGACATACAACTCAAATCATGGGTTATTTTCCCACAATGTTAAATCTCCTTGCAGTACACAATGGGTTTCCCCATCCTCCTGGATTACACACCAAGTATACCCTGGCCCCATGAATGGGTTTGCCTTTTCCTGAGGGAGGAGCAACCCACACTGTCTCTTCCAGCCACTGTTCTTCTCAGCAGAGAGGCTTTACCCACTTGACTTGTTTGATCATGGCACATGTTTCACATTCATGGATAACCTGTCCAATGGCTTCAATGGTCAGGTCCACCCCTTGATCACAAGCCCACCTATACATTGCATCTCTTCCTGATGTGTCGTGGGCCCACTGAGCTATGAATAGCTCGCCTTTACATTCCCAGACCAGGTCCACTTGAGCCATTTAAGTACTGGCAGCCTGGTCTACTTGCTCCTTGTTCCCGTGTTCTTTGGTAGCATGGCTCTTGGGCATGTGAGTATCTACATAACATACTTTTACAAAGAGGTTCTGTACCCAGTCAGCAATGTCTTGCCACAGTGCAGCAGCCTAGATGGACTTACCTCTGTGCTGCCAGTTAGTCAGCTTCTGTTGCTGCAGCCACCCCCACAGGGCATTTGTCACCATCTGTGAGTCAGTGTAGAGACAGAGTACCAGCCATCTTTTGGCAATGTCCAGGGCCAGCTGGATGGCTTTCACTTCTGTAAACTGCTCTCCCTCAGGAGGAGCTTCAATCTCCTTTACTAACTCCGTCATCTTTACCAACTGGGTGGACCTATGCTTCCATTATTTCTTCTTGACTGCGGGAACAACCATTGTAGTTGAGGGTTGGATTTCTGATTTACCCACAGTGTCTGTTTGTATGTCCTCAGATTAAGAGACCCTCTCGTTCCTCTGAGCATAGGCCTAGGCCTACCCCAAGCCCCAACAGAGTGCTGGAAGTTGTGTCTTTATGATATATGCAAGGCATCCTTTCTTCACGTGGTCTGCCAATTCAACAGGATTCCACATCTGTTCAGGAGTGAAGTCCCAAACCATCAGAGGTGAAAACTGCTCAAATACTCCCCCACATCTTGCCATTCAGG